CGAAACGGTTATTTAATTTTAATTTTAATTTTTTGACGTTTTCGAATTATACATAAGTTAACCCGAAAGGCGAAGCAAATATATGTTAATTCGTAATAGGTTTCAAATTATACATAAGCTAATCAGAATCTATAAACAAATAATATTAATCTGTGGTCCGACCAGGCGAAAACTCGGTAGCCGAGGGTGGTTCCACGGCGACGACTCGGTGGTTTCGGTGGTTCGGAGAAGCGACGACGACATATAATTTCTAATCTTTAATTTATATATGTATAAATCTTTGATGTGTCCAATGTCTCCTATTTCGGCATTATCGCTCGGCGAAATATTTAATCAATTTGTTATAATATTTTATATTTAATTATAAATAAATTACAAAATCATAAAATAAACCCATAATTTTTTGAGTATTTTCAATAAATCAAATAATAAAATGCGATATATAGTGAAAGTATTTTAAAGAAAACTATGATTTTGTAGAACTTTTTTAATTTAACTTTTTGTAATACTATTTAAATTTTAATTATTATTTTGTTTTTATGTGTTTCTTAACCTAAAAAAAATAAAATCAAGCCAACAAAAAACAACGCAAAAATAAGTTTGTAACTTAGTGTATAATGCATTTAATGTCGTACATCATAGTTTGCAAAATATAATTATTTTATATATTTGTTCTACAGTATTTAACTTATTTATGAAAAAATAAGTTTGAATTTAAATATTTAAATAACAAAAAGTAATTTAATAAATTAGTTGGAAATAAAAATGTAATTACTAAATAATATAATTAATAATGAGTAGGCAATAATAAAGTAAGAAAAGTTATTAAGAAGTATAATGATTAGGCTATGAAAAAAATAGACTTTAGTAGGAACTTTGTACATGTGGTTTTCCAAATATAATACTTTATTTTTTTTCAGTCTCGTGAAACGTGAATATGGTTTTAATTTCTATGATAGTTAATCCTTGGTACATAAAAAATAACTTTTTTTACCATTTTTATTTTCTTTTTATTGCAACAATTCAAAAAAAAAAGAACAAAATAAATACTACCCCACCCCCTCTCTCTTTCTCTTCCAATGCTCATCTTCAAAAGAACACCACCACTGACCTTCGTTGTCACCGGAGCACCACCAGAAATGACAACCACCATCGGCGACCATCTCCTTCTTCCATCTTCTTGTTTCGATTGACAGCCACCAAAAAAAAAATTACAGCCTCTTCTTTGTACCACCTATAACCTTCTTCAAAAATCGAGTCCCAACTCTTAATATTGCTAATTGATCACAGTCAAGACCCCCCCCCCCCCCCCTCTCCTTCTTCTGTATTGTAATTTTAATCGTTGGTCTGAAAAAAAAAACAAGAATATGGAAAATTTAATGGAGGTGTTTGGCGCTGATGGTATCGGGGGCAATAGTGATGAACAAGGTAAGGAGACGATCGTGACTGAAATATGGGTTGGTGGTGTCAGCTACTTCAAGAATGGGTGAAAAAATGTGTTTTGAAGATGATGGTAGTAAATGGTGATAAAGGTTGGAGTGGTGGTTCGTGGATGATGAAGGTATTTTCTAGTGGTGATTTGAAGCTGTGGTGGTGTTGGAATGGAGGGATAAGGGTGGTTGTTTGTGTGGTGGGTTTAAGCTGCCTCCAGTGAAGGTGAAGAAGGATGATGAAGATGGTGGTGGTGATGACTGGAATGAAGGGATAAGGGTGATAGCGTAAGGTTAATGGTGATAAAGGTTCTGGTGGTGGATATGATCTCCGACGGTGATTGTAATTTCTGGCGGAGGTTCGGTGGTGGCGACTTTGATCAGTTGTAGTGGTCTTTGATCAGGCTGTGGTATATACTAGACAATGTTTTTTTTTTCAAATATTTCAAGGTTCAGGCAAAATATTTTATTTACTTGAAGCAAAGTAGATAACAAAACTCACCACTAAGATGGTTTGGAGGATGATGCACTCAAAATGACCTCCAGAAACAAAATGTATCAAGTAAAGAACAATGTTAGTCATGATACAATATATGAAAAACTTAAAACATAATTAGAAAAGGGGACGGATCAAGAAAAAATCCAAAAAAAAAAAAAAAACAGACAATATCATAACATTAGAAATAATATAGTATCAGAAGTGACTTTATGACCCTCTTTACATCTATTTTCAATGATGATACGCTTTGTGGAAATAATGTAAATGACGAGAAAAACATAACCATCAGTGGTGGGGATAAACAAGGGAAAGGGAAGGAAATTGGAGTGGAGTGGGGTGGAGCCAAGTGAATAATAATTAGTATTAATATGATAAACTTAAAAAAAATACTTAAAAAAAATTCTGATAAAGGGTAAGACTGCAATTCTACTTAGACCAACACCAAAAATACTAGACAAAACTGCAGAATAAGGACCAATATTGCAAGAGAAAATTTTTAGGGATCAAAACTGGAAAAATCAGCTAAACTTAGGAACCAAAAATATAATTTACTCTTATGTTTGAGAATAAACTTTGAGAAATGGATGTGCAAAATCAAACACACTTTGTTTGTAAAATGAAACATTTTCTCATGAATCATTCGATCAAAATTCTTGAATAATTCTTGGTGTGCACATAAAAGCTTCTTTGTTGTAAGGGATATATACACTAAAGTCCCAATATTTTCATCGATTCGACAAGAAATTCCTAAACTTTATTTTTTTGACAGTAAAGTCCAAATTACTGCTAGTTTTTGGCACTTTTACCATTTTTTCCGGTTAGCCGGTAATTATGACTTTTTTGTCAAAAAAAATAAAGTTTAGGACTTTCTTGTCAAATCGTCAATTAGGATTTTACTGCTAAAAAAATAAAGTTTAGGACTTTCTTGTCAAATCGTTGAAAACATTGGGACTTTAGTGTATATATCCATTTTTTTGGTTAAAAATTTAATGGTGTGATACTCTTTAAGCAAAAAGAGTTATTGAAACGTTCTCTACTCAGCTAGATCCTATTGAAATCCTTAACGTTACTTCTTGTTAAATCATTTTTTTAATTTCAACAAACTAGAGATGAGCATGGGATGGAACCGGTACCGACCCGTACCGTTCCCGATTTCCCGAAAACCGAATTTTATCGAAAGTCAATCCCGAGTACCGAACCGAATTAATATCACCGGTACCGGTACCGGGAATGGTACCGGTTTTCGGTACTAGTACCGGTACCGGTGGTACGTAATTCCGAATTTTATGTATTTGGAGTACCGAGTACCGTCCCATATTTTCAAATTTGGTACGGTTCAGTACCGGTTCCGATACGGTACTGGTATGGGATCAGGATTTGGGACAAATTGCTCATCCCTACAACAAAACCAACATTGAAAAAAATGGAGATAATCAAGAAAGAAAGAAAGAGAGAACCAAGGTTGTGTTGACTTTTTGCAGTCTCAAAAATGGAGAAATAAGAAACCGAAAAAAAACGAAATTGCCCTTCTTTCCCTTCTCCACATTCACACCTTATTGACTAGGCATGTGTTGTTTGTGTTTGTATAATCTGTCCCCACTTTTTAGTTCAAGATTTGGCAGCGAAGCAAGAAGAAAGTTTTACAAGTCTTTTCACCCTTTCTCGCCCTCTCTTTTGCATATGTTTCTCCTGATCGTGATTGTGTCAGGGTAAAGATTATGATGGTAACAAAAATAGTGGTGCTGCAACAAAAGTCGCAATTAAAAGTTCTTGGGTTACAAAAATACACTAAAGTCCCAATATTTTCAACGATTTGACAAGAATGTCCTAAACTTTATTTTTTTGACAATAAAGTCCTAATTAACGATTTGACAAGAAAGTCCTCATCTTTATTTTTTTGACAAAAAAATCCTAATTACCAGTTAACCGAAAAAAAAGGATAAAAGTGTCAAAAATTACCGATAATTTGGACTTTACTGTCAAAAAAACTAAAGTTTAGGATTTTCTTGTCAAATCGATGAAAATATTGAAACTTTAGTGTATATATCCATTGTTGTAAATAAAACATCAGCAACAAAACTATTCAATAAAGGGTAGGCATCTATATAACCCTTTTCTCCTTTTAAAGTAAACTACAAAATTGGTTCTTGTGTTTTGGTCAAAATCATAGGTTTGATGCAACCTTTGAAAATTTGATAGATCAGAGACTATACGGTTTCAAAAAATTACTGATCGTCGTTGTGTCTAACATATGCTAGAAACTCATTGTTAAATGAATGTAAATTGACCATTTTAACCTTAGTTTTATCTTTTTATTATTTTATATTTCTATAATTTCTATTTATTATTTCAACTATGTGAAAACCCGTGGAACCCACGGGTGTTAATGTTAAATAAAATTTTAAATTTAATTATGTAATAAATAATATATCATTAAATTAGAAGACTAATATTGTATTTTTTATAAGGATTTTATTTGTAGGCATGTAGTTACACAAGAATTGTTAAGTATTTAACTACAAATGGAGATTTTTAAAACCTTTATTTTTTACTTTTTTTCCTTATCTTTCATGTCGATTGTACGTTAGGTTAATAGAATTTTTGATGTTTTCGTATGTTTTTTCTTAGGATATGTTTTCTTAGGATATATCTTGGACGACACCTTTTCATGAACATGTCATACATATTTACACTTTTCTGTCCATCTAATGCAAATATGTAATAACAGTAATGTAGTCTTTCAAGATTTTGTAATGAAAGGTGCATCAGGTCATGTAGCTACCTGCTAGCTGGTATTTCATAAACTGTTTATATAGAAACACATTGAGTCTGAGATTTAATCAACATAGTTATAATAATATGTCATTGAAATCATCCAAAAAATACATTCCAACGATGATAGTAATAAAAAAAAACCAAAATGAAATAAATTTAAATGAACCATTGTCTTAAAATTTGTCCCATAACAAACTTATTTCGACCAATCATTGTACCAAATAACTAAAACAACTTTAAAAACCAAAGCAACCCATCTCAAAAATTCTAATTTGTTTTTGAAAACATAAAACAACTCACTTTTCCACTTTAGGAACTAAAAGTGTATTTCCCTCTCCGATTGATTTTCTTTTAGATTTTGTCGAACTCAAATCACCTCCAGAATCAATGTCATAAATGTCATGGAGGTTGCGCTTCAAATCAGTTGATATTTTCAGCGGACTGGTTGCAGATGATTTATCAACTGTTGATGGAGTAAAACTCTCATCTGTTTGTGATATGACATCCTAAATTAAAAAAAAATAAGCCGTCATTTGGAATATATAAATATTAATGAAAGTTAATATGGGAATATAAAATACCTTTTGAACATTCTGAACAACATCATCTGATTTAAGGGGTACTTCATTTAAGGACACTGATTGAGTAGTCTAGAAAATAAAATGGACATATACAAAACGTTATGTATATAAATAAAAAAAACAAATATAAAGGGTGATCATTAAAACGTTATGTACCAAAATTTCTAGTTTACTTTCCAAATGGGAAACAATGTCCACATCCTCTGTAATTTTGACAACGCTATAGATATTATTATAGTTGTTGACGTTGTAGGATGTAATATCAACAAGAAACGCAAATTTGCGGTTTTTCAATACGTTCATTTGGTTTGGAAAAAGTTGCATACTGTCTCCAACCTGTAAGAAGTCGTTTAATATATTAAAACAAAAAAATGTTATTTGATAAAAAAAAATTTAGAATAAAATAGCATACCTCTTCATGTAATTTTTTCAACTCATATGCACTTATATCCAACAATCTTTTTGCTTCCCTATCAAAAAGAGTAAATCCAATGGTGCCGGTATGATCTTGCACGTTGATAGGAATTATATACCTAAACAAAAAGTATTAGATTAATATTAATTTTGTTGAAATAGTGAAAAGATTAATTAATATTAATATAAGTAGATATGTGTTTACTTTAAAACAACATGAAAATTCTCGTCATTGCAAACTGGATCTTTACACTGAATAACAACACTTTCTGAGATGTTGTCGGGGGCAGTATAAGACAGATTTGGTTTGGGCACTTCGTTTATCTTTTTCCCACATTTGTAGCACGCTTCATAACACCAAGGTAGATTCTGTCTTATATTGACAATCTTACCAACTAATACAAATTTCATTGCCTGTATAAAATAAAATGTAAAATTAACAGAAAAAACACAAAAAATGTAAATAAAATCAAAGGATATAAAATAAAGAAACATACTTTGAGTGGTTCTATGATCTCAGAAATGGTTTTTAAAGGGAAATCCCCTTTAAAATCATCTATGTACGAAGAAGCGTAACTTGGCAGCGTAGTTATGCTTTTTTTCCGGCGTACCTCCATTAACATTAGCTTTCAATCTGTAATGTTTTAAGTTATATTATTAATTAGAATAGACTGAATTGTTATAATTTTAAACACAATATAAAATTTTTTAAACATTTTAAATATATATTAAAATAGACTAACTCTTTTTTGAAGTCATTAATCTCATCAATCTCAGAATTAATGAACATTTTTGTTACATCATAGTGACTTTTTGCTTGACCTATTCCTGTAAAAACAAATTAGTCAATAAAAGTAGATTGATAAAAATAGTTAAATATATATAGTTTCACTACAAACCATCCCAAATGTTAAGTTTAACAAACTGCATCACTATAACAACACAAGTAACCGTGGGGTTACTTTTCAAGTACTGTGACAATTGGTGTGCTTGACTTCCAAATATAGTGACCTGCAAGTGTACAGACCTAAATAAAAAAATAATTTAATTAGTAATTTGGATTGGTTGTTATATTAGTAAAAAATATGAATAAAAATAAAATAAAAAGTTTCTGTTTACATAATCTCACTCTAAGTTGCTTAGTGTAATCTTCATGTAATGCCTTAGTGTGTTAGGATCGGATGCTTCAAGTGGACGAAATGAGACAATTTGTCCAATAACATCTACACAAGTTTAATAAAATAGAAGTAGATATTATTTAGTTAAATACTAACATAGTAACATGGATAATAAAATACACAAATTATAAAACTGAATGAAATAAAATTTAACAACTAACCAAAGAATGACTCTCTTGGGCAAGTTTGTTCGATGATAGAATTAAATTCAACAAACACAAAACCATTAACTGGACCTGAAAAATCCTCACATCTTTTTATAATAGTTTTCCAATCCAAAGTAATGGTTTGTCTCTGACCGGTAACACTAAAACCATTTTTCACAGCAGCCATATTGGGTTTTAAAATGATGTAACTTTGATCTTCCTTTAACAGATGACCAAATCTGGAAAAATTTTGGTTAAATACACGAGACTAGTATTTTGTTCCCTGTTCACCAAAATAAAAAAAAATTATATTGATTGAAACATATGTAATATTTAGTAGTTTTAAAAAAATTATAACAAACCTCTTCGTTCCATGACGATCATTCAATGGATAAACGATATTATTCCTTATGAAATTCCACATCTTAAAACCCGTCGTTTGAGATGTGAATCATCAGCCAAACTTTCAATGTCTTTTTAGGTATACTTTATTACCTCTATTCATTCCTACAAAGAATTGATAGCATAAGAAATATAAAAAATAAGAAAAATACCAACATATTATAAACGTAAAACAGAAACTGTTTTAAACCATATACACACAATAAAAATTAAATCAATTATGTTGAACATAGCAATAGGAAAATTTGCAAATTTAATTAATAGCATAAGAAATAAGAAATAAGAAGATAGCAATATATTATAATATCAAAGAAGAAACTGATTTAAACTGTTTTTTAACCATATTATAATACACATCTTTACAATTCTGTTGTTTATCAATAGTGTTTTTTATCTACATACACTAACATTTTGATATCCATATTATAACTGCATTTGAAACTTTTTGATATATGATTTTATCATGTTAAATCATGTTTATCATTTGTTTAAATTATGATTTGTTTATCTGTTTTAATTTAAAAACACTAACCTGATATGTGAATTCTGAAATCTTGCAGGAAGAGTTATAGTGGAATATTCACAGATGCAATTGAAAGTCACAGAACATGATTAAGGGATTTTAAAACATGGAGTACACGTTTTGAGGTAATATTTATATACACAGATACCTTTTTGTTAGTTTTGTCTTTTAATGTTTTCATAATCCTTTCAAAACGAATGCATCTTTCTTTGAGCTCAGAAACATGCGAACAAATAACAGTAGAGTGTATTGATTAAAAAAATAAAAAAGTTTCAGACACAAAAATGTACATTATACATACGGTAACAGATACATACACAAAGAAATCAATAAAAAGAGCAGGAAGATGAATGAAACAGATACATTAAAAAAATGAGACAGCTTAGTGAACTGAATAGGTAGATACAGTAACAGTTACATACAAAGCTTGATATTACGATTATGAAGCCTTCAAATTTATAAAAAAAAACAGATACATACACAAAGAAATTGATAAAAACAACAGTAGAAGGAATCATCAGATGAATGAAATAGTTACCTTAAAGAAAAACAGAAGACGAATTGAGATGGTTTCCTGCAATTGATATCTCTTTTGCTCTGGAAATTGGAATCGCTGTGAATGAAGAAACCGTGATATTGTATTTAAAAAACAAAGATTAGGTAAGTTACGGTATTTAAGGAATTGATAAGCATTTACCTTTTGACAGATTCAATTATCGTATTTAATCAAATTATGATTATTTACCTTCCTTTTTTTATTTCACATGCAGGAAACGGGCGTCCTTAATGAAGGGAAGAACCGGAACTTCACTTTGTGTAAAATAGTGGGAAAATTCGATGGGGGGAAGGCTCTATGACTGCCACGTGTACAAAATCTACCTATTTATTAGAATAGGAGATATACATTAAGGGCCCACCATGACAATTTTCAGCATACTCTTAAGTATCATTTCAATTTATCAAAAACCAACCTACTATTCAGGAAGGGCAAAACGGACCAGCAGTTTTCTGCAGCAAATACCAAACATACGTCATGTCAATCAGACTGATTTTCTAAATCAGATTGAACACCATAGAACAACAAAATAAAAAAAGATGACATTTCACATTCTGATTAACCCTAAACTAATTTCAAAACTTGCAGACTCATGAGAATATAACCAAATAATCAACCAAGATCACTACCATTGCACATTCATAAGATCGGATCATATCTTATCTAAATACCAAATCCAACAAAATATTTCGACCTTTCACCCACACATCCTAATTCTATACATGAAACACTACGAAATTTACAAATGAAGAATAAAATAATGAGTCGGTTACCAGGTTCTCACTTGGACCAATGTATATGAAAAGTTGATGGATGCAACAACATGTCGGGAGGAGCAACAGAAGGTGGAGAGGCAGAAAGCAGAATTTAATAGAACTTTTGTAAATTTGCACCTCTAAACAATACCCATATTACAAAGGCCATATAAATACAAAATCCAAATAGTATCTAAAAAGCAAAACAATCATTCATAACATATATTCGAGAACCACTTGCATTCCACAGGATCGATGAGGCTTCTCTTCATCTTGAACAACAGAACTCCAATAACACCCCAAAACCCAGTTCCATAACCACTCATTATGTCCACATAAAACAACCATACTTTGGTCTGCTCATCAGCTGCTTTGGGTTTCTTCTTGCTTGTTATTGTTGGATCTTGATGATTTGAGCAACTGTTTGGCAATGGAGGTCCACAAAGATCTTTGTTCCCAGAATATATTGATGGATCAGTAAGCGTCTGCAGTTGATTTCCTGTTGGAATTTGTCCCGACAAATTGTTGTGTGACAAATTCAAATGACTCAAAAAGCTCAAATCTGCAATGCTTGAAGGAATCATCCAGCTCAACTCGTTTTCTGAAAATGAGAAAATAACTGTGTCATGTTTCCAATGCTGTCTGGAATACTACCAGTGAGATGATTATTAGAAAATTCAGACCCACCAACATGGAAAGTGCAGTTAGCTCGACGGGTATTTCTCCCACAAGTTTATTGCTTGAAAGGTCCATGTTATAAACCATTCTCCAAGTTGTTGTATATTCAAGATTAACACCTTTCATTACCTGAATCACATTCGTATCATAATTGATAACTGAATAATGCTCATCCATCAAGTGACCCACAACCATGCCATTTAAGTTTCCTACACAACAAGGGATGGTTCCTGTTAAGTTGTTGTATGCAATATCCAAAATTTGAAGATTTGAAGTTTGGCATAGAGATGGAGGAATTCTACTGGTGAAGTTATTTTTGTGTAGCCTCAAAACTACCAAAACTGATAGTTTTTCTCCAATCCAATTTGGTATATTTCCAGAGAACTTGTTATCACCTAAATCTAAGAATCGTAAACCTTGTAGATTCCCCAATTCGAGTGGAAGTTCACCAACAAAGTTATTGTTGTTCAAACTTAACCAATATAATGAAGAAATAAGAGCTAACGAACTTGGAATGACAGAAGAGAGCTGATTTGAGCTTAATATCATGATAGTTAAAACCCTGCAGATTCCCCACACAGTTGGGAATTTTACCACTTAGCATATTTTTCGAAAGATTGAGTACTCGCAAATATGTCCTTCTGCACAGTGACCTTGGAATCGACCCATTGAAAAGGTTATATTCCAAAAGTAAGTCATTATCATTTCCCCCATTAGGAAGGTTTGTCAAAGGTCCGCTAAGTTTGTTGTGAGAGAGATCTAAGAAATTGACATGCAACTTCCGCAACCATGGAGGCAGAGGTCCCAAGATTGTAGCATCGGACAATACTAACTTCTCCGGCTTCTCTTGATTTCGAAGCCACTGCCGGAATCCGTTCATGATAATGCAAGAACTGAGATCAAGAGTTTCCAACTGGAATGGAGGTATCCACCCACTTGAAACATTGAATGTCAACTTAGTGTTTGAAGAACTATCCAAGTACTTCAACATCAAAAGGTTAGCAAAATGGGCTTCAGTAACTATTCCTTCTAAAGAATTGTTGGTGATATAGAGAGAATTGAGTTTGGCAAGTTGCCCAACTGAAACTGGAATAGTCCAATTTAACAGATTAGATCTTAGATCCAAATATGTTGAAGCTGCTAATTTTCCAAGGGATTCTGGAATTGAACCATTTAATTGGTTAGAAGAAAGGTCAAGTTGGGTAAAATTCCCCAAAGAATTCTGGAATGGGACCAGTCAAATGATTTTTATTAGCCGAAATATACACTTGCTATATATTTCGGATTTATGTATTGTATCTGTATATTTATTGTGTATTATCTATTCCTTATTTAGCTGATTTGTTAGTTAGACTTTCCCATGTAATACCTCTGTACCTCTTGTA